CCGTTCCTCCACCAAACCACCACTGCTTTGTGCCTGTGACAAGGAGTGAGATGGATAGAGAACATGGGTGGTGGTCACAGATAACAACATCTCTCTTCTCACAGCCTCGAATGACTTGGCAAGAACACTCACCGTCTGCTTCCTCAATCTCAAAGTATCTGTAGTTGAAGTGCACTGTGGGAACGTGGGGGTTTTTTGGGTGTATGACTGAACTCACGCCCATGGCACAGAACGGCAGCTTCCCTGGAACACAGAGATAGTGCTAACCGGTGAAAACAATTAAATTAAGCATCAAGTCACGTCCTCTCGATAACCCTCAACTCCATGAGGCATGACAAATCTTCACAGTAAACGCCTTAAGACCACTGACGGTTCAAACTAATTCCAAAATTAAAAACTAGAAGTAGAACCGAAGATATAAGGAACTGCTTTCAGTCACACTCTGCATTCACCTCGAAATAGGAAGTCAGTCTCTCACCATCTTTCCCTTTCAGAACTTTTCCACGGCTGCGCATTTGCTTGGCGGCCTCTTCATTCACCAAGGCTGCATTTATTTGATCAAAATACAGTAAAACAATACAATTGTGAAATAGACGTTTTTGATATATTTTTAAATGTGATGATTGTAAATCTGAATTTTCATTTCCAATACTCCAGTCTTCAGTGTCACATGATCCTTCAGAAATCTATCTAATATGCTGATTTGATGCTCAAGAAACTTTTCTTATTATTATCAATGTTGAAAACAGTTGTGCTGCTCAATATTGTTGGAAATCATGATACATTTTTTTCAGGATTTGTTGATTAATAGAAAGCTCAAAAGAAATATAACTTTTTGTAACAATGTAAGTCTTTACTGTCACTTTTGATAAGTTTGATGCATCCTTGCTATTATTTTCTCAAAACAAATACTACTGAACCTAAACTTTTGAACTGTAGTGTGTATATAAAAAAAATCACACATCATCAGCATGGACTCCCTCTTTAACCAACCTGCCTCTCCTGACTTGCTGCCAGTCCTTCTCCTCAGGGGTAAAGGAGTCGTTTAGATGTTTGTTTACAATGGGCAGGTAACAAGGCACCACAGTTTTAGCGCAGCTCTTCACAAAATTAAAGACCTCCTCCTGATCGGGGGAATCCAAATCATCAAAAAAGATCCCACCAATGCCTCTCGTCTCCCCTCGGTGACGGATGTAGAAGTAATTGTCACACCTTGAGAGAAAAAGAAAATACTGGTGCTAATATAATATTTAAGGAAAAAAACTATTTAATCACAGATTTAATAAAATTACATTTAAAAAAATTATGAAATAAAATACCAAAATTTAGTACTAGCAATCAAAGATTTGAAAGACTCTGTCTTTTAAATGAACATCTGTCTCATTCATGATAAACTGAAAAGAAAATTAAAGGGATGTCTTTAAACAAAAGTGTTGCCTCACAAAAAAAAAAAAACAATAGCTGCTGCAAATAATGGGAAATCTTATCATTGCTGAACAGTTCAAATCCACCCAGAAGATAAAACCTCATCCACCACACACACATCCTCACACCCATAACAGCTGTAACACACCCCATTCAAACTACACACTACTGGAATGAGATTCCTACCACTTTTTGAAGTCTGGGTAATACTTAGGATGGTGCTTGTCACATGCTTCCTTCAGAGTCTTGTGGAAATGGGCGGCATCTTCCAAATCAATATAAATAGGAGTGAGATCCGTTCCTCCACCAAACCACCACTGCTTTGTGCCTGTGACAAGGAGTGAGATGGATAGAGAACATGGGTGGTGGTCACAGATAACAACATCTCTCTTCTCACAGCCTCGAATGACTTGGCAAGAACACTCACCGTCTGCTTCCTCAATCTCAAAGTATCTGTAGTTGAAGTGCACTGTGGGAACGTGGGGGTTTTTTGGGTGTATGACTGAACTCACGCCCATGGCACAGAACGGCAGCTTCCCTGGAACACAGAGATAGTGCTAACCGGTGAAAACAATTAAATTAAGCATCAAGTCACGTCCTCTCGATAACCCTCAACTCCATGAGGCATGACAAATCTTCACAGTAAACGCCTTAAGACCACTGACGGTTCAAACTAATTCCAAAATTAAAAACTAGAAGTAGAACCGAAGATATAAGGAACTGCTTTCAGTCACACTCTGCATTCACCTCGAAATAGGAAGTCAGTCTCTCACCATCTTTCCCTTTCAGAACTTTTCCACGGCTGCGCATTTGCTTGGCGGCCTCTTCAGTGAGGTTCCCAAACACCACGGACACGTTCACACCCGCTTTCTCGAAAACCTTCCCATCTTGCATCACACAGCTGATGCCACCACCACCTTTATTAGACACAAGAGAAACATGCAATTGGGTTTGTTACGATGTAACACCAGCACAAATCTTCTAGCTAATATTTAATGTATGAATGTTTCTGTTTTATAGCTTAAAGCAAAATCTAAATCTTTCCATCACCTTGTTGGGAATCACTGATCTATGGAACGATTAACTTCTTTATATAGCAGATTGTTATAATATATAATTATAAAGCACACATCTTCGTCACAATAATAGCTTAATAATAATTAAAATGCAACAATAAAAACCTAAGGTGCATTACGATTACGAATAGTCAATTATGTCAAAATGAAATGTTTTGAAATAAGCCTGACACTTAACCAATTACATTATGGTTTTAAAAGGAACATTTGGATTTTTTTTATATACTCTATGGAGGCCATTTCTGATTTGAATACTGGATGATAAAATGACCTTATAAAATTCATAGAGAGATGGTAGAGTATATAGTGCATTGTATAGGTGCATAGTACGTCATCTGAGACAACTTATACGGCATAATTAAGAAATAAAAATGTAGAAATTATGACAAACTGTTAAAATTAAGACATAAACGATGATGACATAAAAAGTCTAAACAATGAGATAAAAAGTAGAAATTACAACAAAAATCATCATGACAAAGAGTCAAAATTATTAGATAGAGTGATAATTGTGACAGAAAAAGCAGAAATTATGAGATTAGTAATCATAATTATGACAGAAAGTCACAATTACGATAAAAAGTCGAAATTATTAGATATAAAGTCAAATTTATGTTATAAAAAGTTATAAATTCACCAAAATGTCTACTTTTTATTTCAGAATTTCAACTCTTTTTTTTTTTTTTTACACCTAAACATGATTTTTTCCCTCCCACTTATGTGGTGGAAATGGCTCCCATATACCTGTAGACCCAAACATAAATTAGGACTTTGGACCATCATGTTTGCTCTACTTTATCTAAGCCTTGTGTGCCACTAGTTATGTCATCGTAAATATTTTTTATGCTTTATTCATAGCATCACTGAAAGTGTTTTTTTAAATGAAACACACATAGAGAAAATCATTATAAATCAATTAAAAAAAGTTAAACGTTGTATTAGTGAAGTAAGTCGTCAGAAATGAGCTAACCTTCCTTCCTACTCCATCTGTCCACCCTGAACGAGCCTCCATCCACCTCCTCAAGGGCTCTACAGAATGCAGCCTGTGTCTCCATGATGAGCATCTCCATTCTCGCAGACATCGCGTCTTTCCTCTGCTCTAAGACCTTGATGTCAGTGACTGGTACAGACATGAACGACTTGCATCTCTCGCGTATGTTCTCCTCTTCTTCTTCAACCTTGGATATCTTCGTTGCCATCTCGGCCCGCTGAAAGTGACTTACACCTGCCGTCAGGACCCCGGTGACAGCTGCTGCCCCAGCAGCCAGAAATACACCGTACCGTCCGAGTGAGATCCTCCCCGGCGATGCTTGAGACATCTGTCTCGTTCCTGCTCTTATGAATGACCATTTTCCTCCCGGAAGAAAGGCACATTTACGGAGGGTAGAGTAACGGGCTACGAAAGAGTGGAAATCAGCTGTACCATGCGCAGAGCGGGACACTTGGCACAGTCTTGCTATTGATCTCGCTGAGCTGTTTATTGTGCACAAAGCTATAGAAGTCATTTTGTCTACTGAGCGACAACAACTGTATCGGTCCACGAGCTGCCAGTTGATAAGAGGATCATAAATGGGTGTAAACTGTAAAGTAACTATATGCAGTTTTGCACGTAGCTTCTCCCACAGTTCTGCCCGCGGAGGCGTGTCGTGACTTTTATATGCGAGTCGAGGTGTATTATGGGAAATTGAGTTTTTCTCCTATGAACTGTGTTTTATTTAATCTTGTAGGGACTACATTTACCATAAACGTGAAATACGAGCTATTCGTGATACTTCCGAGATAATAAAAAGAAGAAATGTTTTAATAATTTAGTGCCAGGACCTTAAAATTATTATTCACACTCTGTCATGTTATAAATACCTTTTAAATATTATTATTAGTATAATAATATTAATGCACAATAATTTTTGTCTTTGTGCTAGTGTTTTTGACAAGATTTTTTTTTTGCTATTCGTGATACTTCCGAGATAATAAAAAGAAGAAATATTTTAATAATGTAGTGCCAGAACCTTAAAATTATTATTCACACTCTGTCATGTTATAAATACCTTTTAAATATTATTATTACTATAATAATATTAATGCACAATAATTTTTTTGACAAGATATTTTTTTTAATTTTTTACAAGAAAGTGAAATCCAGGAAAGTATCAGGGTCAGCAAAACGTTACTGGCATGGTTGTTAAAAAATTCTAATATTACCAAAGCATATAAAGTATAATTAATAGACGTAGAAAATGATTTCTTTGCTTAAATCACCTTATTTAAGGAAATAAACTTTAATTGTTTATTCATAACGATTTTTCCAAACAAAGCAAAGTATTCTTTGTTGTATCTTATTGTTTTTTCCACTAACTGTATCACAGATAAAATCTGGCTGGATCTCCCGTCTTCATTTACAAAGAGTCTGCGCATGCGCGCGCTGCCACCACAGGCCTTGTTGTGCGTCTCTATGGCAACAGCTGTTACATGCTACTTTGAAGCTGAGGCCAGCAGAGGATTAGAGCGAGCTGCTCTCAAATGTACAGGTGCGCGTAGAGACCAGATCTCTTGAATAAATAGGCCGGCTAATGAATTACCATTCATTATTTTTGCACTTAACGCGAGGCAACACCATACTAAAGTTTTGGAGGTAAGCTGCATACATTTTCAGGCGCGGGAAAGTAATACAACTGAATTCTAAAAGCAGACGATAGGTTAACTATATCATGCAATGACAAGACCACCAGGTTTTGTGTTGTAATATTAGCCTTAATGCTCGTTAAAATTTTATTTTATCACAGAAATTTCACATTATAATTATTTAGGCATTGCAGTGCATTTAGTGGAATGGCCATATGTGGCATTTACAACATGAAATATAAAGCCCCTCTTTAAATATATAAACTGCGTCTGCAAAGTCTGTTTAAAAAAATAGTAAAAAAAAAAATAAAGAAGAATGAATACAATATAGAATTACAAATAGTTTTTTTTGGGACAGCAATGTAGAATAATGTTACTTTAATTGTCACTGTAGACCAGTGTTATTTTAGTATCACTGAGATACTATTATAGTTTTATTAATACTTAGAAATAGTTTGTATTTTTATTATATTTGGCGTTTTCATTTTAGTGATTTAGTTGCGTGTTTTTGTCATTTTTATGATTATTTTATTTTTAAGTTAGTTTTTATTTAGTTTTAGTTCTTTTTAATACATGAAGTTAAATCAAGTTATTATATTTTAATTAACACATTTTTTTTAAAGGTTTTAGTTTTAGTTAACTATAATAACCTTTGCTCATTATGGATCAGTTGCTGCTCATTATGGATCAGTTTCCATGTCTACACTCCTGTGTTTCGCTTTCTGAAACTCTCTGACATCTAATTTATGAGACTCCAAGCTGTTTGAATCTAAAGCCGTAATGCATTTGGACATTATTTATTACATAACCCTAGCTACATTCATGCCAACAAATCAACCAAGTGTGTTGTACATTTATGTGATATGTCTTTCTGTACGTCTCCTATATTATTGCAATTGCTTTTATGTAACTAAATTAAAGTGAGAATTAAGGATGATCAATAAATTGGTCAATAAAATCTAACATTTATTAATAAATGGCCAAATAATTATTTCAAATAACTATACATATTATAATCATTTACATAAAAAAATGTTGCTTAAATAATTTTGCTTAAATTAAAATGGTTCTATTATCTTTTTTGGTTGGAAACAGAAGGGAGATGTTTTTTCTATGTGCTCCATTTTTCATTTGCTGTGTCTTAGGAGAAAGTGAAGAGAAAATGAGTGATTCTGCAGTCCAGAACACTCCAGATGAGTATGAGGATGACTTTGAGAAAGACCTGGACTGGCTAATCAGTGAGGAGAGCAAGAGTGAGGAACAGGTAAGTGAGTGAATGTGCAATGATGGCAGAAACAGGTTCATATCTCTGAGACAGTCTTCTGGTGTGTGGTATTCCATTACACAGACGCTGTACCTGTGTGTGTGAAATCAACCCCACTGACACAGATCCATACACACTTTCACTTACCCAGAGAACTATGTCTCATGGCACTGCATTATTCAACACATACTCTCTATGTATCTGATTCACCCTTTAGAAAACATGCTCTCCTTGAAGGGATAGTTCATCCAGAAATGAAAATTCTGCCGTCATTGATCCAAACCTCTATGGGTTTCTTTCTTCTGCTGAACACAAAAGAAGATATTTTGAAGAATGTGGGTTTCTGGTCCCCATTGATTTCCATAGTATTTTTTTCCCATACTATGTTTGTCAATGGGAAGTTTGGGAACCAGCAACTATTTGATTACCCACATTCTCTTCTATATATATATATATATATATATAATGACAAAATCTTCTTTTTGGGGTAAACTACACCTTTAACACACACAATGCCTTACTCCTTTTACTGTGGTTTTCTCAAACTGAACACTTTCAGTTTTCAATTTTCTCCAACAAAGGATCCTGATGATGATGACATTGAAGCTCAGATAGACAAAGAGCTTGAAGAAGATGAGCATAAAGAAGATGTACACAAACACAAGGAAATAGCTGATGAAGAAGCGGATGAAAGGTGGCCAACGCCCATGGAGCCATTAGAGGGTGCGTTAGATCCTGACAGGGACGACCTTGTAACCTCTCCACATTTACAGAACGACGAAGACCTCGATGAAGAAAAGAAATATATTTTGGATAAGATTCAAGAGGCTAACAAACAACTCCAGGACCAGGATCCTCCAGACCATAGCCGGCGCAGACGGCTGCAGTTTAAAGACACTCTGGTTGACCTGGTGGTGCCTGCACTAGAGTTTGACGCTCAAGAGAGCAATGGTGCCTCCTATAGGGACTTAGAGGAAGAGCAAGAGGTGTCCGGACAAATGCAGAGACTGAAGATCTCTCGGAAAGAGGAGAGCGGGATTGGAGAACCTGAGGATGAACATAACGAGGGAGCGAAGGAAGGACGGGTTTTGGTTGAAAAAGATGGAAAGTTTGATCTGGTGAGTCTAAAGGAGGTGGAAAGTCAAGGATTGCTTCCTCCCTTGCCGGTTTCTCACGGCGACAATCAGCGAGCATCTTCACGGCAAAGTGAGTCTGGTCTCCATCTCGGCAAGAGTCCTGTCTCCTCACCGAGGCAAAATTCTACCTCACCTTTTCCCCCTGGCACTGAGACTCTATACATCCCCAAACCTCCACCGAAGCACCGAAATAGACCCAGTTCTGCCAGACCGTCCCAAAGGGGAGCATGGGTTCATGGCAACAAGCGCAGGGTCCAGTCTGCAAATGGAGCTCCTTCACATGCCACTTTCACTCTGTCACCACAGCAGAAAGAATTACTGGCCAAACTTCAGCAGCAGAGAGAGAGGCAAGCGAAAGAGGTGTGATGTGGTTTTAATATCAGTTTAATATCAGTTTCTGTCCTAATGTATTATAAAAACTGATGTCATTTCCTGTTTTTGTTCTGTCCTCCTTTCTGCTTCTTCTGGTTCCTTTTCAGGATGAGCTTAAGAAAAAAGAGGAAGAGGAACAGAAGCGTCAGGAGAATGAGATAGCCTTCCGATCATGGCTTATGAGGAAGAGAGAACAGCTGCTGGAGGAGAGGAGAGTTCAGAAAGCCCAGGAAATGGAAAGGATGAACTGCAGGGTATGTCCACCAGGGGGAGCCGTTTAATCAGTAATTGTGATGCCATACCTTATACATTGTACATTTTTCATAAAATATTATTTTATATTTTTATTATAATAGTTTTATACTTCTATTATTTGATCAAAATAAGTTAAATACTAATATTGTGAAATTAGAATAACTGTTTTATATTTTTATATCTTTTAAAATGTAATTCATTCCTGTGATGGCAAAGCTGAATTTTCACCAGCTATTACTCAAGACTTCAATGTCACATTTTTCTTGTTATTATAATAATAATATTTCTTATTATCAGTGTTGAAAACATTGTGCCACTAAATAGTTTGTGGAAACCGTGACACATTTTCAGAATTCTTTCATTAATAGAAAGTTCAAAAGAACAGCATTTGTTTATTTATTTAAAAAAAAAAAAAAAATTTTAATTTGTCGTTATGCCAGAGAGACTGTGGTGACCCAGAGGAGGCCTTTAATAATTGGCTCCAGAAAAAACAGGAACAGCAGTTCATAGACAAGCAGATAGAGGAGATGAAGAGACTGGAAAAGGAGAGCGGCTTTTGCCTGCACAGCCGAGAGGAGAGTGAGAAGGCCTTTAGACAGTGAGTTCAGCACCATATATTGCTCTTCTAAAATCAGGAAACAGAGGGAGAATTGTATTTAAAACCAGTGTGAAAGCATTTCCCTCTTGCTCTGTTGTACAATAGGTGGCTGAAACGAAAGCGTACAGAGAAAAGAGCAGAACAACAGGCAGCTCGAGAGCGCTCGCGCAGACTCATGCTGGAAGAGCGCAGAGCAAGACGCATGCATGACCTCCACTGCACTGTCAATGAGATCAAACCCTTCCGATTCAGTGACCCCTATGGATACCGCTACTGATCACTTCATAATATACACACGTGACCATTGTTACAATCAGGATCTGAACTGAAGGTCCTCCAGTTCAGCAATCACTGTGGTCACTGCTTCAAGAGACACCTATTCATCTGTATCAATGGTTACTGTTCTATTGAACTTCTCAAAGTTCTGTTGTCTCATCTCCATGATACAGTGGATGAAAGAACACAACAGGAGATCTCTTTTATTAATTTTCCATTCATCCTTTTTCAATATACAGAGATCAAACAGGTGCTTGAGTGGATATCCCTGTTCCAACAGCTTTAGGCACTTCAAATAATTGCTACTCCAAGATGATTTAATGGAGTTTTGCGTAACTGCTGAATCACCAGATATTCTCATTTTTTTGTTTAGCTGGCCATCCTGTAGTGTGCTACACAGCTACTGCAGTCTGCAGGAACAATATTAATGCAGCAGTTCAGGCCCAAAGCTACAGATCAATGATCTGTATGTGGGCAGTTGACATAAAATGCTTTGGAAAATGTTTATACTTGATCTAAAACTATTTTAAACAGCATTTCTTTAATCATTATTTTTACATGCATATTTTATGACCTCATTTTAACTGAGAAACTATATGGAAGATATTTACTTTTAAAATATATTTAATAGTTACAGGATCATGAAAAAATCTAGGAAAGACCAAATTGTTTTTAAAATAATGAAAACGTTAAAAAAATAGATATACCTTATCTTATCTTATCTTATCTAATAAGATATGCCTTATGCATTCATACAGATTAAAACTTAATGTTGATGAAAAGCTTATAGACAGGCATTATAAAGATTTTGGTCCTTGTCTGATGGGCATCATTCTGTTTTTTTTGTTGTTGTTTTTTATATTGTAATTAAGGTAAATGTTTCACATATTTACAGAAATCAAGACATCTAAAAATTAAAATAATTTTGAACATTATCATTAATCCCACAACAATCCCAAAACCCTCCTCAAAATAAAAAAATGAAACAAAAAAGCCTTGAAACATCATTGTATGCACATTACCGATCAAAAGTTTGGAAAAATACAGTAAAATCAGTAATATGGTGAAATATTCTTTCAATGTACAAGAATGCAATTTATTTCTGTGATAGCAAAGGTGATTTTTTTAGCAGCCATTACTGAAGTCTTCAGTGTCTCATGATCCTTCAGTTTTTTCAAACTTATATTTGATCAAATTAATGCATCCCTAAGCTTAAGAGACTTCTTTCAAAAACATTGTAATTATTCTAAACTTTTGACATGTAGGCTATATATTATTCAACATATTGAGACAAATATATGTTCAACATATGAGACATACCAATGTTTACTGGCAACAAAGTTCACATTTAAGGTTCATATTTTATTTAAAAAATTTACATGACATAACAGTGAACAGTTGCACATTTGTGATGGAGATATAGCAAATTAGGAAACCACATTACCCAGCATCCTTGTCGTGCGCCTGCGCAGAAGTCACTTTGCCGCTTATGAGTTGTTGAGGGATGCAATGCTCCATAGCAACATCAGTACCAGCGGAGGAGCGCTGTAGAGGACGACCTGGGATAAATATCCTGAGAATATCTGAAACAGGTGCTGCATGCGGTCAGCATGGACGACCAGAAGGTAAGAAGCGACCGCCGTTACAGAGAAATTACAAACGACGCGCTTCTGATGAAAAAGAGGATGCTGCGTGAAAAGAGATACTAAAATAAGAAATACCGAATACAGTAAAATCAGTAATATGGTGAAATATTCTTTCAATGTACAAGAATGCAATTTATTTCTGTGATAGCAAAGGTGATTTTTTTAGCAGCCATTACTGAAGTCTTCAGTGTCTCATGATCCTTCAGTTTTTTCAAACTTATATTTGATCAAATTAATGCATCCCTAAGCTTAAGAGACTTCTTTCAAAAACATTGTAATTATTCTAAACTTTTGACATGTAGGCTATATATTATTCAACATATTGAGACAAATATATGTTCAACATATGAGACATACCAATGTTTACTGGCAACAAAGTTCACATTTAAGGTTCATATTTTATTTTAAAAATTTACATGACATAACAGTGAACAGTTGCACATTTGTGATGGAGATATAGCAAATTAGGAAACCACATTACCCAGCATCCTTGTCGTGCGCCTGCGCAGAAGTCACTTTGCCGCTAATGAGTTGTTGAGGGATGCAATGCTCCATAGCAACATCAGTACCAGCGGAGGAGCGCTGTAGAGGACGACCTGGGATAAATATCCTGAGAATATCTGAAACAGGTGCTGCATGCGGTCAGCATGGACGACCAGAAGGTAAGAAGCGACCGCCGTTACAGAGAAATTACAAACGACGCGCTTCTGATGAAAAAGAGAGGATGCTGCGTGAAAAGAGATACTAAAATAAGAAATACCGTTAGCTTGTAGCTTCACTTGTCACGTCCTCCGCCCATTGTGTTAGTGGATATGTGTCCTTATAAAGGGCAAAGTAACAACTTCGCACCGTTAGGATATGCACGGTATTTATATGCATGATGTAGGCCTGTTCGTGAAGATTTCCTTAAAAGTTGATCAACAACAGCCTATAATGTGAATCACCAGAAACCGCCCCGTTCCCGCACCTCTATAACGCGAAACGGGTATTGTTTTCAAATATTCATTACAGGAAATGCTCTGAAGGGAGGAAATAACATTTTAGTATAGTAATAGATGAATATTCACAAGCCAGAACAAATTTTGGTGCAGGACAACCCCAAACCGGCCTGTATTGTTACAAGCTTCTGGCTTCAGGGAGGCGCCCCGGATATAAAGCCGCTTCTGTGTGGCTCAACATCAGCGACTTAATCCAATGCAAGTGGCCTGGATGAGAGGAGAATGAAACATGACATTTCTGGTCAACCCTGTATGAATTTCAGTAATATTAGCTCCCTCTCCTTCTAACTTGCTTTATTTACAAGTATGCACTTGTCTCCCCACGAAACACTCAAAAATAGACAAGGAAACAATGACGTCGATGGGAAAGTATCATCTTAACAAATTGTGTTTAAGGTGCACTCAGTCATTTTTTTTTTTTTTGCTAACAAAAATGCATTTATTTTCTGTTGTGAAAATAGCACGTTTGAGAAATATTACAATTATTTTAGTCATATCAGTCTTCTAAATAAATCTGTTTATTCTTCATGAAGAGGGTTGCTCCCTCATTAGCACAGGCATGTTAAGATCACATGACCAGGCATCATGCAGTTGATCATTTAATAACTCAACAAACATATTTTATATAGTTCTATTATTAGCTCAGAAAACATGTACAGTAAGCATAGTAATAAAGGTTTTATAATTTGTTATATATTAATTCTATGTAATATTTTTAAAAGCATAAAATTGTAAAATTTATAATTGCTCATATGTGATCTTTATATGTGATGATCTTAAAAAACATGTTCAGTAAGCTCAGTAATAAAAGCTTTAAAATTTTATATTAACTCTATATAATATCAATTATATTGTTTAAATTAAAGCCACAAAATTGTCAAAATAGAATTGCTCATATGTGATCTTTATGTGCAATGAGCTTAAAAAACGTACAGCAAGCAGCATAATAAAAGCTTTAAACACGTTATATGTTCATATAATATTTATAATATATTTATTTTATTTAAATGAAAAACGTGAAATGGTAAAAATATAATAGCTGATATGTGATATTTGTATGCAATGAGCTTAAAAAACATGCACAGTAAGCGGAGTAATAAAAGCTTTAAAAAGTGTTCTGTATAATATTTATAATCTATATATAATCTTTTACTTTTGTCACTTCTACTTCACAAAATGGCAACACAAAGCAATGATACACTTCTAATACAACTATAACAATGAATCTGCTTTGTGTTTTTATGTGATTCATTCACTGTTTCAGGAGTCACTGAGGAAGATTATCACAACGTTGGCTCTGAAGAATGAGGAAATTCAGAATTTCATCTGCTGTCTAAAGCAGAGTCTAGAGAACCTAGAGGTAAACACCACAGCAGGCCTTCTGCTCTTTTTACTCACATAACTGGAAATCTTTCTGTCAGCTCTCAGCTGGCCCGAATATGTTGCAAAGCACAGTATTTGTCCAGACACATTTCACTAAACCAGCAATTTGCAACAGCAATACAGCTTTAAGCTGTAGGAGACAATGCAACTTTAACTCTGCGTTAATGGTGTTTGCAGGTGAATTCAAACCGAGTGCAGGAGGATCTGGAGTCAGAGTTTAGCTCTCTGCATGCCATCCTGGATGAACTGAAAGAGGGCATGGTCACACGCATCAAGCAGGAAAGAGCCAGTCGCACATATGAGCTACAGGTGAGAGCACCATGAGGATCCCGAGCCATAGTACAACTTAACAAATTCTACCGAAACTCATTCAAATGTTTTATATTTTCTAGACAGAATGCTTAGATATATATCAGTAAAAGGCAGAGTGGGATGGCTTTAGAGCTTGTGCATGATTAGAGGTGTCATGTTAAGAGAAGGATAATAAGAAATCCTTGAGGATTATAGTGTCTGTGTGTGTGTGTGTGTATAATCCAGATTGCATCCTTATATACCTGTACATACAAACAAAGCATCTTACAGCACACATTCCTCACAAGTAAACCTGTCATTACCTCTGTCATTACGCTCTTTGATTATTTACTTCCTTGGAAGAATATAATTTAAAATTTCCTTGTGACTAAGAGCCTGAGGTCACAATATGAAAATATTTAGGTTCACCATTTTATCCACTCATGCTTTTCCGTCAGTTTGTAGTTTTTATATATTGCATGATATACGATTACCTTTCGGAAACTAGTTGTTTTCCATGATGATTAATCTAATTTGTGGCTTACATCTCTTCTCATTGATTGTAATTTGCTTTACTTTTTGTTGTATTTTCCTCAACTATATAATTATATAATATATAATTATACGTATTCAATGTATTATATTATATTATAATCATTATTTGGTCACATCTGAAGCCCTTTGATCAAGAAAATACGTTTTTTGTTTGTTTGTTTTTTGCATTTACACTGCTTTTCAAAATGTTAGGGTCTGTAAGACTTTTTAATGCTTTTTAAAAAAGTCTCTTATGCTCACCAAGGCTGCATTCATTTTATCAAAAATATAGTAGAACAGTAATATTGTAATATATTATTACAATTTGAAAATTGTAATTTATTCCTCTGATGGCAAAGCATGATCTTTGAAATCATTCTAATATGTTGATTTGGTGCTTAAGAAACATTTCTTATTATTATCAGTGTTGACAACAGTTGTGCTGTTTAATATCACTATAGATGAGTAGAGTTATGTAAGTCCCTGTAGATGAATAGAGTAATGTAAACCTGCCTAAGCATTTAGTAAACTTCAACCAGATTATGTAATTGTCAAATGATATTATGAATGTTGTGATGGTCTTTTCAGAGTCAGCTGAGCGCATGCACCAAAGCCCTAGAGAGCTCAGAGGAGCTGCTGGAATTAGCCAATCAGACGCTCTGCTCATCTGAGAATGACAACTTCACTCAGGTACC